GGGGGGGGGGGGGGGGGAAGAATAAGAAAAAAAAACTCTGGAGAGGACAAGTTTTCAATCTGTGTCTGTTTGAAATTCTTGGCAGGTGAAAAACTCGACAAACTGAGCAACCCCCGAAACATCAAGCCCCCGGTGCCGAAGCTGGGAGGTGCCATGTCCGGGCTCCAGATGCTCCCCGAGTGCACCCGCTGCGCGAACGGCATCGTGTGAGTGTCACCTCTGCCCCTGGGGACAGGGACACAGGGACACGGCTGGGGTCGGGTCCTGCCAGACACGGGGGGTTAGAATTTCTAGCAGAATACCTGGAATTTATAGCAGAAACCTTTTATTTATAGCAGAATACCTTGAATCCCTTTCTGGTTCTTGCTGACTGGGTATATAAGCCTGGAATTGAGGAATACGGTTTGGATTGCCCCTTTTAAGGGAATCTTGCAGCAAAATGGGGATGATTCATGGGATGGTTTCTGCCCTGCTTGTCACAGTAACTGCCTGGGGACTGTGAGCAGCACCGTGAGTGCTCGTAGCCACTCATGGGCTGCTTCCCTTACAGAGGGAGAAACGCTTCGAGGGTCAAGTAGAAGAGGTTTGCGGGTTATTTTTGTTTGTTTGCTGAAGGGTTACTCTCCGAGGGATGGAGTTTGGGTCTGATTTCAGACCTTAGGCCTTTTTCTGCTTCGTTGTGTTGTGATTTATGTTCTGGGGTAATTTACGTCCTGCTGGAGCTGGATCTTCTGGCGGAGGCTCTGCTCCGCAGCCGCCTCTCCCCGTGTCCCTGCTGCTGCTGTGAGCCCAGGGCTGTGCCCCAGCGGCCGTGGTGGCTCCCCATGTTTGGGTCCAGGCTGAGCATAGAGATTTGAGATTCCACTCAGCATCGAGCCCTGGAGTGGTGCCACAGGGGGGTGCAGACAAAAGGGAACACATCATCCCAGCTCTCCTATGAAGACAGGCTGAGAGAGCTGGGGTTGTTCAGCCTGGAGAAGAGAAGGCTCCGGGGAGACCTTATAATGGCCTTTCAATACCTGAAAGGAGCCTACAGAAGAGCTGGAGAGGGACTCTTTACAAAGAAGAGTAGCGACAGGACAAGGGGCAATGGTTTTAAGCTGGTGGAGGGGAGATTTAGGTTAGATACTAGGAAGAAATTCTTTACAGTGAGGGTGGTGAGGCACTGGAACAGGTTGCCCAGGGAGGTCGTGGATGCCCCATCACTGGAGGTGTTCAAGGCCAGGCTGGATGGCTATTTGAGCAACCTGGTCTAGTGGGAGGTGTCCCTGCCCATGGCAGGGGGGTTGGAACTAGATGATCTTTAAGGTCCCTTCCAACCCAAACCATTCTGTGATTCTATGATCCCTTCCCATGGAAAATGGGAAGGTTGGACGGGGCTTGGAGCAACCTGGTCTGGTGGGAGAAGTCCCTGCCCAGGGCTGGAGGTGGCACTGGGTGGGCTTTAAGGTTCCTTCCAACCCAAACCATCCTGTGATTCTGTGATGGAGCCGCCCTGGAGCAGGGTGGCAGCTTTGGGTGGGCTGAGACGTGACGGGAAGCCGTGATAACACCCTCGCGTGCCCCGACACGCCGCTTCCCTTCGCTTTAATCCCTTTTTACTCAAGCGGGAGAAGCTGTTTGTGCTGGTTGTTCCTCCCTCTCACCCCAGCTCTCCCCCATCTGTCTCTCCCCCAGGGGCACCATCGTCAAAGCTCGGGACAAGCTCTACCACCCCGAGTGCTTCATGTGCGACGACTGCGGGCTCAACCTGAAGCAGAGAGGGTATTTCTTCATCGAGGAGCAGCTGTACTGCGAGACGCACGCCAAGGAGAGGGTTAAGCCCCCCGAGGGATATGACGTGGTGGCTGTTTATCCCAACGCCAAGGTTGAACTGGTCTAAACCCGGGCTGTGCTCTGGAGAGCCCACCCACGTCCTCCCCGCCGGCTGCGCAGTGTGGCTGTCATCAACCCCCACTACCAAAGCCCAAGTTAAAATGCCTTTTTTTTTCCTAGATAAAGCCGTTTACACTTGGGATCTCCGGGGGCTGGTGTTGAAAGCATACGAACAGGTTTTTCCCTTCTTTTTGACACTCTGCTTTTTGGGTTGCTGTGGTGGGTTATTAGTCTGTGCCTTAACCTTATCCAAGATCTGTGTAAATATTGATTAATTCTCTACTTTGTTTCATATAAAACCAGTATTCTTTTTTTTTTTTTCTTTTTTTGCCCCTCTCTTTTTCTCAAAAAGCAAGGAAGATGTTTTTAAAACTCCAAGAAAATAAGGCACTTTAACAAAAGAAGCTGACTCCTGTATCCTGACCTTAATCTCCTGCCCTCCAGCTGCCCTGGTGATTAAAAACTGACCCCCGAGGAGCCTGGGGTGCAGTACCAGGGGGTCGGGGTCCCTGGCTCAGCCCCATCCCAGCAGATGTGCCAAGGAAGGGTGGTCTCTTAAAACAGCATTTGCTGTGAAATTCCCTGGATGGGGGCACTGCAGTTTGAGGCTGACACGGATCCGTCCGAGTTCCCCGAGAGATCTCCACACTGAGCGTGTGATGAGGCTTTGCTTTTCCTTCCTTTGCTCCTAATTCAGTTGTTCTGTCATCTAATCACCCGAGCGGCGCCTTCAGAGGACACTGAAACAGGACAGAGCCCACCTCGGCTATTCCCACCTCCCTGCTCCTGCCCCACGGTGGTCCCTGCTTTGGCCATTCTGACTCTTCTTCCCCAGCTTTTGCTGCATTTTTTTAGTCTTTTATTTCTAGAACCCCACCTGTGTCTGCCTCGCAGCGGGGAGGTGTCGATGAAACCCCTTCAGGCCCTTAAAAGAAGGAACTGGAGTGGGGGTGACCCAGCCGTGAGCCCTGGGCCCAGGGGCAGTGGGTTCAGATTTACACCCTCATCCCAAGGCTGCGCTTTTGGTCAGGTCCATTGCCCACTTGATTTGCTGGCGGGCCCAGGGGCAGCAGGTTCAGATTTATACCCTCATCCCAAGGCTGCATCTTTGGTCAGGTCCATTGCCCACTTGATTTGCTGGGAAAAGGTTTTTAAGGATCTTGGATGTTGCTTTGTTGGAGAAATGTTTTTTTTTTTCACGTTAGTGTTTGGAGGAGAGAGAGTTTAGTCTCTCTTTCGGTGGTGGTAGGAGCCATGTGTTTGGTACCACAAGGTTATTTCTGTTTCCTCCTCCTCACTTCAGAGAGGGAGGATGGGAGTGACAAAAAGAAATGTCTGTGCTCACTTCCCTTCTGTGGAAGAGCAAAGTAAGAGATGGAGTGATGGCCAAAGCACTTCTTCCCTTTCTGGCTCTACATAACAGGGGTCTGAGAAATCCAGACTGGAGGAGGGTCAGGAGCATTATCCCAGTCGGAGCTGGGCGTGAAATTTCTTCCTACACCCCAGAGGGAGTAAGGATTTTAGGGTGTTACAGGGCCACATCTAGACCCTTTTTCTGTGGTGCCTTAGAGGGATTTAGGCAGCTCCTGCCCTGCCCCAGCAGCGCTGCATCCTGAGCCTGCATCCCAGCTGGGTACCACGGCCGGGGGGATGCTGGCTCTGCACGGTCCTGCCAGCAGCAGAACATCCTCATCATCCTCCCCCTCCTCCTGCCACTGGGATTTTTAGTTTTTAAAGTACAGGAAACACGTGGAGATTTTTATCACAGCGCTGAGCCTGCTTTTTCTTGTATTTGCATGGCCTTGCTCGGTGGGTGGGACCGTCTGATGGGGAGTGTTTGGGACACCTGTAGATGCTGAGGAGACTAACACTGATCAGGTGGGAAGCATTTCTGCCCTCGTTTGCCGGCCTCTGCTCCCAGCTCTTTGGAAACATTTCTTCTGGATTCCTCCATTAACCTCATGCGTTGCTGGGCGAAGCTCCCCTGCCTGGAGCTTGAAAGTCCAGGTTTCACCCAAGCCCAGGGCTGAACCCAGCTGGGCTGAGCAATGGAAAACTCACGGCAGGAGTGGCACAGGGTGCTTTTCCCACTTCCCGTGGCAGACAGCCCCAGCTGGGGCTGCGTTTCACTCTCTGCAGCTCTTGTCCATCTTTGACTCCATCCGTGCAGCGGTTGTGTCCTGCCCTGGCACAGGGAACACCTTAGAAATTCATTAATTGTTTAATTGCCCTCATTTTGAAGGCCAGAGTGGGCTGCTTGCAGGGCATCCTTGGTCTTGCCCAGCTGTGCACCAGTACAGCACTGGGAGTGCTGGGCACGGGACGTTTCTTTTAAGTTGAAGCCAAGTTCCTACGAACTGACTTTTCTACTCAATTCTCTTGTGACACCTTCCTTAGGAGCAATCAGCTCATTTCATCCCCCTAAAGCTGGACCTGCCTCACACAACCCCCTCCCGGGGCACATGGATTCCTGCCTTCGGGCCACCCCGTTGCCGTGTGGGGTCTGTAGGAGCCGGGAGCCCGCGGTGTCCGTGGGTAACGCTGTTCAACTCTGTACAACGTGGGGAGGGAGCCCTTTGTATGAAATACAAAATAAAACTGTATTGTGGGGTTTATGTCTCACATCACTTTGCGTGGCCTCTGCCTGCACCCCAGCTGGGTCTCTCCCCCCACGTGCGGGGGTCCCTCGGTACCCAGGTGAGGGGATGTTGGATAAACTTTAAAAAGCATCTCGGAGATGGAGGGCTGCGTTTCTCACCACCTCGTGCATGGAGAGCCTTGTTTGAGGTTTGGTCTGTGTTTTGGTGGGGTGTTGGTTGGGTTTATTAATTCCTGAGACCTCACTGGGTCCCTGCTCACGTTGGGCACAGAGATGGGACAGACCATCATGTCTCTGCCCGGTTCATCACCACCCGGGGTGCCCGGCTCCTCTCCATGGCTGTGACCCACCTCATCCTGCTGCAATCCAGAGCTCCCCTGCCCCTGCAGAACACCCCTGGATGGGATTTATTAGCAGCATTTTCCTGGCCACGCTGCTGCTCCAGGGGCACCTTCTCCCACCTGGTGGCCCAGACTCACCAGACCCAGAGCCACAGCTCTGTGGGGCTGGGGGTATCACCTGCCCCATCACCATGAGAGGGATCCAGGCAGTTTCCAGGCTGGAAAACACCCTTTTTCCCAAGGATAATGTAAGCCGTGGTACAGCTGTAAGCAAATAATGCACCTGAAAATCCCTTTGCACAGCCCCAGCTGTGGCACCGCTCCAGCTCCTTCCCCATTAAGTGAGCACTGGGAGCCTGGAGCTGCTGCACCAGCACAGGGAGGGGGCAAAACTGGTCCCAAAAGTCCTGTCCCACCCCCTCACTGCTGCCCCTGGAACCACAGGAACCTGCCAGCAGGTAGGAGCAATGGATCAGGAGGGGGAGGGCAGGCTCCTGGGGTTTAGCAGATATATTGGAGAGGGATGTTTGCTTGTGTAGGTGGATCCTGGTAGCTCTGGTTTTAATGGTTGGTTGGATTTCGATGCACTGGTACATGGGAAAGTCAGAAATAATGTGAGCTAAGTGCCTCCAAAAGGTATTTAATCGAAAAGGCTTTATTTGGAAAGTGTTCATATATGGCAAAAATACTTCAAGGCTCTGAGGATCTGCATGTGGCACAAAAGATTTCCGTACAGCTTGGCTCTGTGCAACTCTGTGCCTAATTAGTGCATGTATTCAAATAATTAACATGCGTATAGCTCTCCAGTTAGTGATTTTTCTGTTCACCCTTGAATGCATACGTATGTTGGATGTGTTTATGTGCTATAGGCACTGTCATCCCAGGCACTTCTGCCCTGGGCACTGCTGCTGTGGGGCTCCAGCCCCATGGCCGAGCTCTGTGGGGTGATCCCTGGGTGGGAGACTGAGGAGGGGGACACAGGGTCCTCTCCCCATCCCCAAACAGCAGCCACCATCCGACCTGCCCAACCCCAGGAGCCTCCATGGGGCTCCTCACTGCTGTGGAAAACACATCGTGAGATCAAACACGATGAAGGGCACGGTTTATTAACTAAACGAGGCGGGACCGGGGCCAAAGTGATTCAAGTCCTAATTGTTTAAGTTTTTTCCATGTATCATCATTAAAGTTTCCTCCTCAGCCGGGCATTATTTCCCCCACCACACCCCCTTTCTTGTGCTGCTTTTGTTTGGAGTTGTTTAACTTTGCTTTTGTTGTTGGATGGCTGCCCCAGGGACCTTCATAAAAATCTCAGCTGGTCCATTTATATCAGGGTAAAAGTCCTTGTGACACAGGAGGGGGACGCAGAGGGAAAGAGGAACTTTGGAAAAGTTCCCTCTCCTCCCTTTTTCATGTGTGAAAGAGGCTGTTTTAATTACTTCAGGGGGGGGGGAAAATCTTCCCCACGCATATAGTAAAACACACAAAACTGCTCCTGACTGTAAGGGAACTTGTCTGCGGGTTATTTTCCTTCTCTGTGTCTGAGGAAACACCCACGGAGCTCCCCCAGCCCGGGAGCAGCTTCTCGCACGGGGAGGTTTAAATATTCTGAATTTTTACGTAGCCCTAAAGCAGCTCCTTCGTGCGGGGAAAGCTGGGGGGGGCCCTCCTGCTTCAGGAGGTTGATTTGCTTGGGGTCACTCTCTCCCTGTGCAAAGACGCCGCTCGAAGGTGCTTCAGGGTTTTAATGAAAATAACTGCTCTTTTTTTTTTGGAAGAAACACCCTAGTTCTTTGCTCCC